CAGTACAGTACAGTACAGTACAGTACGAAGAGAGAGAACGCTAACCTTGCTTGAGGTGACTTCTGGTGTGGAGGACAGGAAGGTGGGTGGGAGGCGGTTATTGTTTGGAGGGAGAGTCCCCCTCCCTACAGGAAGCCATGACCATGTGACACAGCAGGGAAAATGGCCACAGATCCTGTTCGTCAACCGATGCGGAGTTCGCGAACAGAAGCAAAATTTTGCGAACAGTGCTGTTCGTGAACTGAACTGTTCATGAACAGAAGTGTTCGTGACCCGAGGTACCACTGTACATAACTGCCCTTGTTTACAGACAGCTCTAGGAAAAAAATTAAGTTATTGCAAAGTATCGAGAGTCCTTTTTAACAGCACAATATATTTCATTTTTTTTAATTGTCATGGATTTTAGTGCTTTTGTATATTGCACTGCCTATTTAAATATTTTCTATTTGGTCTACGTGATAACTGAGGTGAAAATCTTAAAATAGTGTACTTCCTAAAAATAGAAAGGAACAAGAAGCAGGCTAACAGCTCCCTCTTTTAACAGGCTGCCATGGTAGCTCCAGACAGAAATCTGAAGTTCCTGGCTACTCTCTATTATAGAGGAGAAGGAAATTTATATTTCCATGCATCAACTATAGAATACAATTATGTAGCACTTTGTGCTGCTACTGATTAGTAGTAATTCTCACTGTATAGGAGATTGAAAATATTAAAATAATTAAACAATCATTTTGATTCTACAATTTAGTGTGTTTGTATTCCTTCACAGCTCTTCCCAATATGATTTTATACGGACCAGGATAATTAATAATAATAATAAATTCCAGCACCAACCAAGGCAGCCTGGTGCATTTTTACCCCATCATTGCTGATTACAGTGGAATAAGCTCTTTAGGCTCCAGCAGGTATTTTTTAATCCTTGTACAGACCAAGGTTGGCAGTATACATGGCCTAAGTTTGGTTGCTTTGGTCTGACTGCTGATCAATATAAATGTGCAGAAACTGCATATTGCTTCATAAATTCTACGGATCTCTTCTTAATGAAGCAACCACTTGTCAAACACAGAATTGTTAAGCAGTGGTTCAATAAAGCCATTCAAATTAATTGATCAGAACAAATTATTTAACCACAGTCATTTTAGCAAAGTTTCCCTAAATCTGTATTTGTTACAGGACCCAATGATTATCCATATACAGTATTTATTGAAAAAGAAGATAAGTAAGTAAGTAAGTAAGTAATATATACATGTGTATGTGTCTATGTGTGTATATAAATACATTTGTTTGCCTGCAATGGAAGATACAATCCACAAAAAGACAGAGCAAGGATAAAAAAATTAATTAAATTAATTAACTTCTGATTAAAAGTACTTGATTGCAACTTTAGGTACCCTATTTTTAAAATTAATTCCCATATGCATACAGTAACCAGTTTCTTTCCTATATATGAACTATTCCTTTGCAAAGCATACAGGTACCCAGATTTGCACATTCCCCTCCCTCCTTTCAGCAGAAACTACAAAAAGAAGAAAACAGGGTAGAGATGGGGTCTGATGAATGGATAGCTGCAGGAGAAGTGAAAGAAAATGAATGAAAATGATGAATGGAAATGTGGGGGGAGGTAACAACATATATGGAAGGGAACAGAAGAGAAGCCATGTTGAGGCATCACAGAAAGGGTTAAAATTCACCGGGAAGCAGCCCTCCAGCAAGGCCTAAAGTCATTCTAGAGTAGTGACAATCAGAGTCAGTAGCATGTTTCATCTCCCACCCGTTTGTCTTCAAGGGAGTCTTCTATTCTTATTGCAACCAATACAAGACCACCCACTATCACTGGATAATTACCTGGAGGGGGAAAAAACAGCATTTTATCAGATAAATAAGGTGTTGCTCCAGAATATCTTGAGTGTTATTGCACAAGAGTCATCTTACTATAATCTCATTTCATACAACATCCAATCTTCCATTGATTTTAGATCTGTCATATGAGATAATAGAGAGAGAATTTGACAGAAGATTGATTGAAGTAATGTTATTTCACTAGTGAATACAAATATGGACAGATAAAACTGGCTTGGAGAACAGCTGGCCTTTTATAAAAATACAGCTGACAAACCAAAAATAGAAAGGGAAAGAGGATCAGCCTAATTCTCTAAATAGTAGTGAATCACCTCACAAAATTCAAAACTGCTACTTTTAAGATGGTTCTGCAGCCTCCACAACATCTGTTCTACCATTCTCTAATTCAGGTGACCTTCTTTCCACGCTGAGATAAGCAAAAGGAGACAACCCTATTATTAGGCAGCAAGAGGAATTTACCACAGAAGCTGAAGCACAGTAGTGGCAGATTCTTGAGGTCCTCACATTTCCCCTATGTATGCTAATCTGTCTACAGCCCTTTATACTAGCTTTCTTCTTTGAGTTTGGTGGAGGATAGCAGCCCAGTCAACTTCTGTACACAGGACAGGAAAGGCACTGACAGCAGAATGTCTTGGGCTGGCCTAGCAGAAATCTTACAAGAGACCAGCTATAAATCAATGAGGATTACATTTTAAAGAGAGGCAATAACTTAAAAAAGGACATTTAGTATGAAAGTCATGGCAAAAATTTTCACTGTGAGTCAGCTCAAACTATGAAAAACAGGTAAAGGTCAGTTATGGGCCACCCCTTTGTTTATTGATTAGTGATATGGATTGGTCTGATATCATTGTCTCTACCAGGATAGGGAGCCTGGTACCCTCCAAATGTTTTAGACTATTAGTAGACTCAATACTGTAAAGTCTATTTTAGGTAAAATTCACAAATATCTGATGACAGTAGGTTGCTGACATCTACCATGCAGAATCATATTATATCAACCAGAATCCATATCATTGTTCAACAAGTTCACCTGTAAATGACATACTAATTTTAAACCACTATTCACTTTCAGGTTAATAACGGGTATTAGAAAAGTAATACCGCAAGAAATATAATGCAGCAATCAAGCAAGAGTTGAAACCAAAAATATTACATGGATTGTAAGTCAAATAAGAAAGTTCTGATTTGCTGTTGGATTGAATTATGTCCATCACCCTTCCAGCAAATACAATTTTTCACCTTGGCATAATGTTTGCTTTTATTTCAAAGGAAGGAGAAAACTGACTTTCTTCCTATTTTGCTAAAATGTAAACATTGCGTCACATAGTAAGATTGAGTTCTAGTGGTAATACACTGCTTCCAGCTAGCTAGTTATTTTAGCTATCTTAACCAGGTGGCCTAGCAAACTATCACTCCATCTTGCCTTTTACCCTGTCTTCCAGCCAAACCTAGGTGCTTCAGCAACTCTGTAATGGCAATCCCACAGCGAGGCTGGTGATCTTTCAACATGTCTTAGTAGCATTTTAGCTAACTGCAGCTGAAAGATGGAAATCATGCAAAACGGGGATGCAGTTGGGGAAAGTGATCGATGCCAATGAGAAGAGACTTTCAAAACTTTTTAACTTGCTTTCCAGAATTGCTCTACATTACCTAGACAAACAACCTAGAACAAAAGGATGTGCTTTACATTATCACACAGACTTGTCTGAAGACCTTTCAGTGTTTGTTTGGAAACTTAATTCCTTTTTTCAGATTTTAAAAGTTTTAATATGTAGTCACACTGCCCCCTGCTGTATAGTCAGCAGATATCTTTTGATACAAGGAAAGAAGTGGGTGTTTTCTTTCTCACACACACACACACACACACACACACTATTGAGTTTTACCTAAGGACAAAAAGTCCATGCTAGGCAAGACTGAATACTATTCACTGACTCACTCACTGGCATTGTTAGTGTAGCCATGGTTTGCTGACTGAACTAAATTGGCTTATCACACTTCATGCTATGCCATAAACCTTGGTTTACAAACCATCGTTGTGGAAAATTTGCACTTTTATAAGGAAGCAAACCAAGTGAAGGTTTCTTTATTGAACATGTGAAGGCTATAATGATCACGGAGCTCCCAGCCAAGAGTGCCACAAGCCCTAAACAATATACATACTACATTATGTAGGCATGAAAGGATACTTAAGATATCATGAGTAACTGATCTGATATCATCAAGGGGGCATCTTCTCACATGGCAGGGCAGCAAACCTTTGCCAACAGATGGTGCACCATGAAGTCATCACAAATTGCCCCCAATTTACATATCAGCTCACAATTACTATAAACCAAGTACACTGACCCCTCTTCATCTTTACTAAAAGGATGACCTTCTTAACCTTTCTCCCAGGAAACACTGCATTATCTGTTTCCTGGAGTAGCAGCCCAGGGCCATTGATTCTTCAGAAAAACAACACTTTTATAAATCAAAAGGGAATACAACAAAACATGCTGACTTAAAAAAGGTCTATATGGTCTAAGGAAGCAACACACAGAAAGGCAAAAGTCTCCTAAAACTATAGGAAAGGAAAATATTTTATTTTTTGATGTAGGCTAAGTTCATTTAATATTTAATTATCCCTCACCATAATGCCAGGTTTATATACCATAGTAAACCACAATAAAATAAAATAAAAAACACCATTTGGTCAGTCCTAATGTGTGAACCTAGTGGTGCTACAATCCAATTTAACAGTTTAAACTGACAAATACCCAGCATGATTTATGTTAGTTGTGACTATATTTGCACTCCAAGCTAAAAGCATAACATTAATCACTCCAACAGATGGGGGCCCTGGATGGAAGAATTTGCATAACACAAGAGCTACAGTGAGGCAGGTCCCTTGTTGCAACAGCTTGAGGCAGATGATAACCTGTGCATCACTGTATCTTTCTCCACTGGAGTAACGGTCCAACATGGGGGGGGGGGGAAGGAGTATAAGGAGAGGCATCAGTGGTATGGGCTAATCCTGCTTATTGTTCCAACAGTTCCAGCATAGAAAATTGTGATAACTCACACCCGCCTAGCCTAGTTTCTTTATTTCCTATCCCCTAATATATACTCCAGATTATGATTCTTAATTACATCCAAGTAATGCAATGGTGGGGGACCTTGACTAGTTCAAACTAAAATTAACCATTTGTGAATATTTAATACTTGTTTTAAAGAACAAAAGGTTCATTGGTAACCAAAATTTAAGATTCCTTTTATAAGATGTTAATGGTACAAATATTGTGGGGTTCTGGGAAAATACATGAAAGGGAAAATACTCTCATCATCATCACTCCAATCAATGGAATCTTGGTTGCTGTATTACATATCTTATTTGTGAACAAACCTGATTAGAGAATTTTCCTTTCTTGTTAAACATTCAATCTAGTTAATTTTCTCCCTTTGGGAAACATAAGAAGTCCTCAAGTCCATTATACAATATTTCTATAGGACTGTACCTGGTGGCATTCAGGACAGCATTTCATAAAATGGCCAAAGTACCCCTCCTATGCACTGCTCTAAGTGTCAAGGTTCTTGAGTATCATCTCTCGGAGGCTTGGCATAGCTACTCTGAGGCCTTTCCTGGCCTTTATGAGCATGCACAGGAACCATTTCCACCAGGATTCCCACCCATGCGAAAATTCTACCAAGACTGTGCCTTTCCGAGATGCAGTTCCCTTGATACTTCAAGCAACATAGTCAATGGGCATGTCCATACCTCTGCAACGTGCCGTCGCAAATACTTTGCACAGCCCAAATATTTGGCTTTTGTAGGTGAAGCTATATGATATCAACTGACTTTCCTAGTTACCATTTCTCCTTTTGAAACTTATAGCTAACATATTATTACTTATTATCACTAACAGTCACAGTTCTGCTTACCTCATTAATAATTAGCTTCTTTACATTTTAGAAGAACCATTTTTAAAAATCAGTTAGTCAGCATTTTACAAGTCATGCGAAGCCTAGTTTAACTATGCCATGATTATCAAAATATGAGTCTTGTACACTATTTGCTCAGATAAGAGCTTTGGTGAGCATGAGATAGAAGGGAGGTCTATATCCATTCATTATTAGTAGATATCTACTAAGAGTTACAGATTCTGGTGATATACAAAGGCAGGCATCTTTAATTATTTAGAGAATAAACAGATCTTAGAGCAATTATCTGTAGAATTTATAGATCTTGGTCTGTATTCTAAAGAGGATGTAAAAAGCTAACAGAAGACAGCAAACCACTCATAAAGTACTCTCCATTTCCTATAGGAGAGAAATCTCTAATGACTGTAATGTTTTCACATTCAGTACCTAGGCGGCAACCCAAGTGAAGACCACTACCAGTATGTAAAAGTTAAGGACAAGGCAAGACCTGTCTGAAAATATAAGGATATTTCTTGCTGTGTTATGAACTATCAGATTCATATCTGTAACTAATTCAGTTCTCATGCCAGGTAACACGTTAATCCATGTTATCTACACAGATCCATGGTTTCTTTATCATTCAGAGAAACAATGATACAACTTTCTATGAACTTGATATTGACTTTGTGTGTCTACATGGTGATTGCTAAAGCCCTCCAGCTATTTATTTATTTATGCATACACACACACACACACTTTTCCTAAAAAGTTACCAAATCTTTTTAGGTATTCCTTCCAAACTGAAGAGGCTGCTTTCACATAAAAGCCTTCCAGATGTTATTCTGTCATTTGCCAGGTTTTATCTTCCAGAAATGGTACTATGCCTGAAAATTTATCCAATTCTATCAAAGAAACAAAAGAAGTAGCTTCATTTCTTGATTTCCAGTGATCTCTGGAGCAAATGAAGCCTCACATTTCAGAAGTAAAACTGTGACATGAACAACTGGCCTTCAGCTGAATGAAATTCTAAACTGAACCTTGCAGTTAACTTGCCCCTTCTTTTAGTCACAATATATTTTTTCCCACTGAATCTTCTGGTGCTCTAACATTAATGGCAATTGCTGTATTGTTCAGTGTTCTATGCAATCCTTGCCAAGACAGACTTTTCTACAAGGGTATACAAATCAAACTAGTTACATTATAGGATTTATTTGAAAAATCTTATGAAAAATAAGTTCATAATAAGAATACTGCAAGAAAACAGTCCTACCACATATTTCTGTGTTTCACTTTCTCACATTTAAGAATACTAAATTAAGAAGCTCAGTTGCTTAATTTACTAACAGAAATACCATGCTCACTGCAAATTTTCTCAGTTCAGAGTTTTAAAAGTTTTCATAACATTGCATCACTTGAAAATAAAGTCATTAATTATGGTTCATTATTTACATGTTTTTCAGCCCTAGGATAAAGTTATAGCTCACAAACAGGATTTTGTAGTAAGTAAAACTGCTAACAAATATTTCACAATTTATGTAGAGCAATATAAATAGCAAAAGTACGCATTCAAAAAAGTTGCAGCCATACCAATAATCCGTCATTCACCTCAAGCAGAAAAAAATTTCAAAATTAAAGAAAATGGTGCACTATTCTCCATGGCAGCTTCAAATCCTTCTTTTCTAGTATCAGCAACTAATTATCAGGTTGTATTAATTCCTAAATTATTTAAATTGTTCAAATCAACCTCCACAATAGTAGCTTGTACTTGTACAATGGGACTTTCCATTCTTTTTCTATCCATGCCTTGCACTATGTCAAATTTTCTCCAGACTTTTGGGGAGGCATAGAGCGGGAATGAAGAGGAAAAAGGAATCAGTGCTGCCCCCCATGTTCATCTTGCACTTGTTGGCAGAATGATATAGTTGGATGCAATCTTTTTTTTTTTCCAGATTTACATGCCTTCAACATCTGTAATATCACAAAGATATGCCTTCACAAACCTTATTAACATGCTAAAAGCAAATGACTTTTTTTTTTTTTTTGGCACTAGTTTCTAGCCTGAAAAAGTTTGTCTTCATTCTGAGTGGGGCTTCCTCTTTTTCACAGAATTTTTTTTGCTAAGAAAAACTAAGGTCAGAATCATCAGACCTCATATTTCTGAATTGTGTAAGATCGATTGATCAGCATATGTGACAAAAATCATATTCTCTTAAAATGCTTCTTTAGGCAAATGTTCCAGAGAAGAAATATAAGCATGATCTTTTAAGAAATAATTTGGCTAGGATTATACTGATAGGTTGATTGTATGTAGTATTAAGCAGTTTGAATTAAGAAAGCAACAGGGTCAATTAGCCAAATAGGGAATCTCGTACATTCTTTAATATGTTGAATATTGATCAACTGGGAAAGTTCTCGCTAAGACTACTAACTGCTCCAGGCAGAGAATACATGAAAAATAAATCAACTGATGAACAATTGGCTGTATATACAAAAATGATGACCAACTTTCACCGAAATAAACATTTACTTTGCATACCCTCAAATAAGGCTAAAACCTTCAAAGCAAGAAGAGAGTACACACATCACTGCTTATGGCAATCATCCATATTATATTTTGAGAGGCAAAGAAAATTCCTAATTCTGTAAATTTGGGTCATGCTACTTTTAAAAAATATATTCATTGGTAATTTTTAATGAAGGCATAGCCTCATTCACATTTTGATCTAAACGTTGATATCCAACTGTTCTGGAGCACAGCCCATCTCTCCATCTTCTATTCTGAACCAACAAGATGATCTGAAAAGAAAAGAACAATTAGATCACTTTAAAGTTATACCAACATGTATATATTTAAAAAAGAAACAATATTCTCAGATCATTCCTTGCAAATGTTGTAGATACATTTTTCATCAAGTCTTCGTATTGATGTCTAATCTTTTTATGTTCTTAATAACCATGTTAACAAGCAAAATGCCTCCCCTATCCCTGATTGATAGGGTTCACAATCTGATTACATAAAAATATATTTTGCTTGGTTACGTCCATTTATAATGATTGTTCCAAAAATTACTGACTACAACGTATGAAACATTTTTTTCTTATAAATCAGTGCCAGCTTCACATTTCTATAGAAAACCTGACATGCTACGGTTAAAGAAACAGCTAAAAGGAAGGATAAACCCTAATATCATTCAACAAGATTCTAGTTATACTGGGGCTATAATGAGGGATAAAATGCAATAAAAAAAACCAATATACCCATAAGTGAAACTGAATTAGGATATGGGAGAAAGGATTTTTATATCCATGGATGTTGTGCTTTTTTAAATATTTGTCCTGGTCTAGCTTGCATCTGTGAATCTAAAACTCAGTTAAAATATATTACCAATAGCAGGTCCTTAAGCTATAAAAATTCAGCTTTCTGACTGCAAACATCAAAGAAGCTTCAACAGAAGAATCTACTGTCTTTAAAAACTTGTAACAAATTTTCTATATTAGTGCAGATACTGCAGAAAACATGACTATTGACACTGAAGACAGATCTCCAATTTAAGTAGGTTTGTAGACAAATCCCACTCTGCCATCTTGAAGAAGTAGTTTTGTCATCAATTCATCATGTTAGATTATAAATCCACAATAAATAAAAGGGGAAAATAAACATCGATTATACTTAATCAAATTTACATTTCTCAGAAAAGCAAATTTTAAATTTATGTTATAATTTTATAACTTACGTAGCGGAACTACTCATAACACGTTGGCACATCTACTAGGAGCTTTCTGTCTAGTATTTATTTTTTTCAGCTTGCTTAGACTAGTAAGTATTTGTTATTTTTGTAAAATTATTAGAAATGCTATGTAAAAAGATTAATTTCAAGCAGATTAACATCCACTTGCAAATTCCAAGTGTTAAATTAACTCACTATTCTGCATTAGAAACCAATTTAATCTGAAGTTTTCTAAAGTTTACAACTTTGCATTTTATAATTTACAGTATTCAACTTTTCTTAGCCCTTATTTCCAGGAATAGACAAGAAAATAAAAAGGATTCCTGATAGTATCTGAATATTAGATCTCCACATTTATAAAACTTATCAATTAGCTAATTATTAACTGCCTCAAAATGTATTTCAAAACAACAATATACCAATATTAACATTATATTGCAAATTGTTAAGAAGCCCATCCTACCTTTCTTTTATTGTGATATGTTATATAAACTACAGCTACCAAAAAGGCAAAAATAACAAGGTGAAAAAAGAAATGACTATCATCTTCCAATCTTGAGACCGTAGTGTCCTTCATGTTATCAGCAAATGACTTCTTATTCTCGTAGTTTCTCATACTTGCCAACTCTTCTGCAAATTCTGATATGTCTTGGTCATCTTGATTATTTTGAGAATTAGAAGCCATATCATACATGCCATAATCTTTAGAAATATCTTTAGGTTCCTTTGATGTTGGTAGGGAACTAGTAAATGTATTTCTGTCTGTCATGTCATATTCTTTACTATCTGCATCTTCTGAAACATCAATATTTTGTTGATTAATGCTAAGAGTTTCTGACAATGACACAGGAGGTTGGACTACTTCATTTTCTGCTAGAGTTGGTGCATGTACAACAGAAGCATCAACTTTCAAAGTTGGGAGCATATCTTCATTTGTTTTATTCCTCATACTGTTCTCACTGGTTGCAGGTGTAATTGATGATAAATTCTGTTTTTCATCCTTATGAATTGACTTAAAGTTCTGAGGTATTTCTGCTTTAGGTGCAATATCTTGAAAAGGGAAAAAAACAAGAATAACTTGCAATCTTAAACAGATAATTTCACTGTATACAAGGATACACAAATTAATATGAATTGTGGATAAACAGTATCTGGGTTGACAAACATGCATCCAAAATTTATAGTAAATAAAAATATTGAAACTAAAAAAGTAGTATTAGCATATCAGAATCAAAGAATTAATAGGCTTAAATGGAAATTTTCTTAAAATAGTTATAGTACTAAAGTTGTATCAAAACAAAACATGCAGAAATCATATACAGGTAGTCCTCAACTTTTGACCATTTGTTTAATGACCGCTCAAACTTACAACAGTGCTGAAAAAATTGACTTACGACCAGTCCTTGCACTTAGGACTGTTGCAGCGTCCCGGCAATCACATGATCAAAATTCAGGCGCTTGGCAACCAGCATGTATTTATGATGGTTGCAGCATCCTGGGGTCATATGATTGCCATCTGCAACCTTCCCAGGGGGTTTCCGACAAGCAAAGTCAATGAGGGAAGTCAGATTCACTTAACAACTGCATGATTTGCTTAACGACCATGGCAAAAACAGTTGTAAAATTGGGTGTGATTCACTTAATGACCGCATTGCTTAGCGATGGAAGTTCCAGTCCCAATTATGGTTGTAAGTCAAGGAATACCTGAATTCAAAAACGCCTTTAAAAAGAGAGCTGTGCCTGTGTTTTAAACAGCAATGCATACATACATACATAACCAACAATCAACAGCACAGAAATTTGTGAAATCAAGACACAGCTATACAAGGCATTGTTCCATGATATCAAACTTAGGTTGTAATTATATTAACATTGCTTCTAGATAAAGTGACCACACCCTGATCCACACATAAGAATAATTCATCGGGGGTTTGTTGCTTTTAGCTTAACTTGGTATATGACCCCACTTATTATGCCTTATGTGTCTGTCAGGCAATGAATTGGATCCAGAACTATGTTTAGAATAGAGCTACAGAAATCAGTGGGATCAGTTTCTGGCCTCATGATTTTCTTCAGTACAAAGAGAAGCTACTTGCTTCATATTTTAATTAAAACATATGCTTGCATCAATTTGATGGTAAGCTAGAAAGCAAAACATCTCTTCTTCATCCCCATGTGGTCATCTATGAACAAAAGCTTTGTGAAAAAGAAATTAAGAAATGAGCTCCAAAGCCAATGAGCTCAGTTATGTTCCTTCAGGATATGAGTCTTGGTGAACCCAGAGCATTTTATGTAGCAACACTCTTAGAGAATTCTAGTTAAGAAATGAGAGATGCATATGAGTAATGTATCAGAAAAGAAGGCATTTAAATGGTATATATGAAGGAGACTATCCAGTATAATTAAGAACACTGCTCCTACAGATTACTAACCCATAAACATGCACAATGTATTAAAAATGAGTCTTCTCTCACACAATGTTGGGCTACATCAATATAATTTTAACAATATTTCAGAGGTATATTTTTGTTAATTTTGTTAAAATAGATTCCAAGTGAAATGAGGATTAATGAACAGGTCTGATCTGCCTTGTATATTTTTTTGGTATAGGAGTCCCCAGTTTAAGAATGAATTCTGTTCCCAAAGTCTGTCCTTAAGTCAAATTTGTATGTAAGCCAGAACAGTATTATTGTATAATACTATATACATAGTATTGTGTAATGAACTCAAACCATTCTGTATTTAACTCGAATTTTGCTACCACAGGCTCCATTCTTAACTATGGGTCATCCTTAAATCAGGTGTTCTTACCCCGGGGACTTTAGATATCAGGAAAGGTGACTAAATATACTCAAGAAAATGCTAGACATAATTCAGTGCCCAGATAATTTAAAAAGGACTCAAGATAAAGGCAGAGTTACAAACAATTTATATTTAAAGAACAATCTGCACAAAAAGGTTAGTGATAAGTTTTTTAAAAAGTAAATGGGACAAAAGTGCAAGTACACATGAATAGCCTCAAACTTGTAGGATCAGGATCAAGAGAGAGCAACAAAGGGCTTTTGTTGAAAATATGTTGCTCAGTAATACCCATGAAATGTTTAAAATGTGGCAGAAACTATTCTCACCTTCTCTTAAAAGAGACCTCTGTGCAACTTCATTAGAGTGGCATGAAAAAATAAAGTCATTCAAATCTCCAGAATCAGAAGAATTGTAACCTAGCCACTAAAAAATTGGCTAATGTCTCTCAGAACCTCTATTATCAAAACTACAAAATTCTTAAAATTGAATTCTTGAAGTGGCACTAAAAAACTGAAGACAGCAAAATATTGGTACAGTGTTCTTTAAAAAAAAAAAAAAAGTGGGGGGAGAGACAGGAAAACCCTAGAAACAATAAGTCACGTATCTTCCAAGGGGAACATAAGAACAGACCACAAAGCAACCAACATAAGCATTATAACTACGTAATAAAGAAAAGAGAGCTGTGCAATGCTTCCAATTCAAAGGCAAAAGGTGCTTCAGAGTACATACAGACACAAATGTAGCACCTGACTGCAAGTCCGTAAAGCAGCTACATCTTTTCCTGAGATTACACAGATGGCCTCAACAGATGCTCTGCAATCACAAGTAAGACTCATTGGTATACAGAGTTGCAGACAGGTGTTACTCTTCCATGCCTGCATGTTTTGAGGCATCTTTTGACTTTAAAATCAAAATGCTGCAGAACTCCAATGACTAATAGAAAACAATATGTTAGACAACCCTCCTTCCTTAAAAGTACTAGTTTTATGATTGTGAGAATGCTATAGTCGTAGTCTGAGTTTCTTGCATCTTACGAGTTTTACAGAAAGCTGTGTATGAAAAAATTACTGTCATTATCATTTACTATTTTATGTTATCTCATAAATCTTGAGGATAGAAGCAAGTTTCTTGAAGGAATGAGATCTACCACCTATATTTAAGATCTTTCCTATTCTAGCTTTTAACGTCTGGCAGAACAGGAAGGGGGAGGTCTGAGCCTCAGAAGTAATTAATGCTTTTTTGAGGGAAAAAAAGAGCAAATTGCTCATAAACAATTATTAGGCCTCTCGGGACTCTCCAGACTCCTCTTTCTGTATCTATTTTCCCATTTTAAATGGGAACTTCCCCAATAGGAATAGGTTTGGTTGCCTTGATCAGTGTGTGCCTTAATGACAGAAACTATGGAATGAAAAAGACAAACATACCTCTGTTAGTTCTCCTGGACCTCTTAGTGACTCTTAATATCAGGGACTGCATTATCCATTTAGGCTGGGTTGGTTTTATGGACAGGATTATATGATCAATCCAATCTTACACAGAGCTGAGGAATTCTTATTTTTGTTTTGTGACCTTTGATCTGTAAGGCAGCACAAAGTTCCATTCTGTTCCATGCTCCATGTCTACTGGAATTTGGGAGGGGGGGTAGTATCTCTAATATATAGATAAAATGCAGTTTTTAATCTACTAATGCCAGAGAGGCTGTGGAAATCTTGAACAAATGTTTGGATGTGGTTTTGAGATGGATGACAGAATGCAAACTGGAACTTAATCCAGATAAATTGGAATTCTTGGGTTAGGAAATCTGCTGATTACAAAATGTACCAGATAAATGTGAACAGTGGATTTATCACTGTCTATGGAAACACAAGTCATGACAGTAGCTCAGTATGTCTTGATCTGAAGAGGTACCAAAGTATACTGGTCTTGGGCCACAACAATAAAGATTTAATCTTACTGGACTTCAGCTGCTACGCAGTGTAGACACTGCAGCCCTCAGTGGAATTAGAAACTCCAGTACTGCACTAATTGTCAGTGCATTTCTGCTCCTAATTCAAATGCTGGTTTTGACCATAAAACATTGCAAGTTATTTGAAAAACCACTTACATTCATATGAGCCTGTTTGTGTTTAACATCAGTTATGAATAAGCTGCTCATGGGTCTACTGTTAAGATCAGTACAAATGGCATTAGAAGTAAAGTCTTCCTAGTGGTAGCACAACTCTACTGAATTCCCTCCTGCCAGATACACAGCTGACAGCATTTTGGCTGCTTTTAAAAATTAGCTATTTTCCAATTTGTAATTTCAAAGTTTTTTCTTAATGGGTACTTAAATTGTACTGGAATCTGTTCTGATTGACAACTGCATTTAATAATATCATATTTCTGTATCATGTTACCCTATAAATTGTCTTGAGAAGTGTATGATCCTGAAAGATGGCTAGAAAATGGATAAAATTATCAGACAGGATTGCCAAATTACCATTTCTTCTTGAAACTGTTCCAATAACTAAGCTCCTGAAGCCAAAATATGCTTAATATCAACACAAGAAGTATACATAAATTGTGTAATTATTCTATGTACTACACATTATGCTTAAGTAACAAGAGTTAGGAATATATGGAAGCTGCAGTCTTCTTTTTCCTTTCCACAAAACACAGCCATTTAATTTGCTTCAGAACTAAACAGAATTACAACTCAAACGTATATATGCATACACACACACAGTATACAGCTATACAAAAGCACGGTTAGAAGCCCAGTACTGTAAAGCCATGAAATTCTGTCCATTACACAAGGAGCAGAGACATACAGCATTTGCACCAAAAGAGAAAGGAGCAGAATTTGTCTCGATTCTCTCTCTCTCTCTCTCTCTCTCTCTCTATATATATATATATATATTTTTCTCCCTCCCTGTGTGTTCCTTCCTTCCGCTTTTTTTCGGATCAACGGAATGTTGATCCGTTGGTTGCGACAGGCACTGACAAACCGCCTTGTCGCCCGAGCCTAACGTCGTGGGCCGAGAGTCGCCCAGCCAGCTTTCACGCCTAAGGCGGAACTAGAACTCAGGTCTCCTAGTTTCTGTAAACGTGTGAGTAGACGCTAAACGTAGCCTTTCCTTCGGAGCAGTCGTGCACAGCTCCCTGCAGCCCTGTACACCATTTGTACCAAACTTGGCAAGAAGGCGGGAGCCGCGATTAGGGCAACCCACCCAGACCTGTCGGAACCGGCAAAGTGCAGGGAAGCGCCGCCTCATCCCCCGAAGCCTCCGCGAAAGCCTGCGAGGCCCCCGTTCTCGGCAGCACCGAGACTCACCGGCTGAGGAAGGGGGCCTTCCAGGTGCATTGAGGCACAAGCTCCATCACCCCCAGCCAGAAGGCCACTCCACCACGCTGTGGATGATAGGTGCGTGGTCCAACCCATCTAGGCGGCGCCAGATAGAAGCAGGTTACCCAAGGCTTAGGGAAGAGGGTGGGGGGCGGCAGTGCCCGCTGCGTGACTTCACTCCAGCCCATCTTCCCACCCGGACCCCGGCAAGGCTCCCCAGACTCGTCGCTTCCTCCATCGGCACTTCGCGCACGCCGTTTATCCGCC